CACTCATAAGGCTTCTCCCCAGTGTGAATTCTCTGATGGTCAATAAGATTTCTATTAGAACAGAAAGCTTTCCCACATTCATTACACTTGTAAGGTTTCTTACCAGTATGAATTACCTGATGTCGGAGAAGATTTTTATTCCGAGTAAAGGCCGCTCCACACTCATTGCATTCATAAGGTTTCTCCCCAGTATGGGTTCTCTGGTGGTCATAGAGTTTGTAACTCTCACTGAAAGCTTTTGCACATTCATTACATTTATATGGTTTCTCCCCATTATGAAGTCTCTGGTGTTGAATGAGATGGGAGCTGTGTCTATAGGCCTTCCCACACTTGCTGCATTCATAGGGCTTTTCGCCTGTGTGGGTTCTGAGATGAACCATGAGCTGAGAGGTCTGCCTGAAGGCTTTACCACACTCATTACACTCATAGGGTTTCTCTCCAGTGTGGATTCTCTGATGGCCAATGAGGTGTGAACTCCAGTTGAAAGCTTTACCACAATCATCACATTGAAAGAATTTCTGTGCCCTCACAATCTGATGTTCTGCAGGACTGCAGGACATATTCTGATGTTCCCCAAGGTCCTTATAGTCATCACATCCATCTTTTGGGGATTTGTTTTTATATTCATGTGTTATTTCCAGGAAATCACTTTGCAGTCTGCTCCCTTCCTCCTCTGAGGGTTGTGCTTCTAGCTTCCCTAAAGCATCTTCACAGGCATTTCCATCTCCTGGTCCCCCAGGAACCTCCCCATATAGGCCTCCTGATGTCCCATCAGATGACTCTGATCCTTTGGAAATCTCCTGCCTTGGAGGTAACTCTGAATTCTCCATCTGAGTCTCACCTGATGTAAAAAGAAGGAAGAAAAAAGCTTTTACTCATTTNATTCTCCATCTGAGTCTCACCTGATGCAAAAAGAAGGAAAAAAAAGCTTTTACTCATTTCTTGTCCTACTGAGGAAACAGAATCATCAGGAGTCTATCTACCTGAAAAGCCTTCACGTTATGGGTAAGGAAGGAGGTGACACATTGAGAACAAGATAGAAAATCAGAAATAGCTCAAGTTTTTCTTCATGGACAGAAAGACAAAGAGAAGGCATCAGGACAGTGATGGATGAGGAGCCATCAGGACAGAGAGATGCTGAGTCAGCACAGTCAAGTGAGCAGGGAAAGTACAAAGCAAGAGACCAGATGTAAAGCATGGGTGATCTTCCAGTAGTCGCTCTGATGCCTTGTGTCCTTAGTAAAGGATCAGTTCTTAAGATCTTTCCCACCATGACATTGTATGCTTCCATGATTCTCAGCAAAGATGTTTGGGGGACAGAGTGAGGGCAAATACCTCAAATCAATATGAGAAACAGTGTGGGCAAACATGAGAGTTGATCGGAGATATACATTATGAGGGCGTGATTAGGAAAAAGTATAAAAAAGAAGCAATTCTATTTTTTTAGAGAGAGAATGGGAGAAAGGGGGGACATAAAAAGAGAGAGAGAGGGAGAAACATCAATGTGAGAAGGGCACATCTATTGGTTGCCTCCAACACTAGCTCCGTCCACGGCCAGGGATTGAACCAGCAACCCAGGTAAGAGCCCATGACTTGGAATTGAACCTGCAACCCTTTGGTCTGACAGCCAATGCTCTAACCACTGAGCCACACAGACCAGGGCAAATATAAGCAATTCTGGTATGACAGAACAGTGACAAGATTTTGAGAAGCCATGGGTTCAGAAATGCTGGGCAAAGTACCTAATTTGGGAGCAAAACTCTAGGAGTGGGGATCCTATAGAGCATGGAGCACAGGACTAGTAAGAGCTAGGACTGCACCCCTATAAAAATTAAGAAAGGCATCAATAATTTGAAATATAAATGAAAATATGTCTGTGATATCTTGATAAAATGGAATCATAAGGAAACTGAACAGGTAAATATTTGCTTCTGAATTCTAGAATTTTTTAGTACAAAAATGTAGAAAGGAGAACATCATAGTCATTAAAACCAAAAAAAATTGGGTTCATTTCATCTTAGGGCCACCACCTTCATGCCACTTTACCATATGGAAAGTTAAAGATATCTTGTCCCTTAACTGAGATAGAAGTGATTCCCAAGGCCACCTCTCCAGAGTTGACTACTGTCCTAGCCTTGTCAATCAAAGAATCTAACCCACAACATCCCCTTCCAAAAAACTGTCAAGCCCCAGTTTTTGCTCATAGGGAAGCTGAGCCAACTATGCTTTGTGCCAATGAACCCAGCTCATCCCATGATGGATCACAATCAGCGGGAAGAGAAAACAGATATGCAGGCAGCAGCTAAGTTACATTCCTAGTACAACACTAGCATAAAAATGTCTTTCTTTTTGTTACTCAGGCTCCCAGGATCCTCCAGTCTCAATGAGCCCCTTCTTCGCAAAGTCAGTCTAGCTGATCAGTTTGTACAAGGTTTCCATTCCTTTAGCCTTATTGTAAATAGCACAGCTCATCACTTACAATAACTTGAGTGGCTCTCTATTCCTTACAAACTCTAATTAAACCACCCTAGCTCAATCCATTATGAAGTCAAGAGAATGTTGATAACTGTTAATGCTGGGTGATGGGCACAGAGAGGTTCATTATACTGTTCTGCTCTGTCTATATTACAATTTTTTCATAATAAAAGGCTTAAAAAGAAAAAGAACATAGCGAAGAAAACATGAAGGATGCAGATGCTAAGTTACTGGGGCACAGAATCATTACCCAGTGAGGCTATGCTGGGGTCAGTTTCTGGCACGATGCTGTGGTACAGGGCTCTCTGACTCAGTGCTGGACCTTCCCGCTTCTTCTCAGCATAGTCCACAGACAGGCACTTGTACGCTGCAGACCCCTGCAATGACAAGCTTCTATTGCTCAGAGACATTCCCACCCCCAAGGGCAGAGTCATCAGGGATACCAAGAGCACAGGGTAAGAGCCCTGGTGGGCAAAGGGGTGCAGGAGGGAGAACTGGGACGACATATTTAAAAGGACAAGTCCAGGGCAAGAGAGAGTCCACGAACTCAGTAGGAGGGACCAGCTCCAGTGGAAGCCACAAGAGCATTCTCAGAATGGGCCAGCACCCGGGAGATGAGCTCACCTGGGGCCTAGTCATCCGAAGCACAGATGCTGCTGCTTGGTCTCCTGTGTTCCCCACTTGGGGAGGGGCAGGCACTGGGGAAACACGTTGAGCTGAGGGAGGGAAGAAATCTATGAGTGGAGAAGCCCTGTCCTTGGCTTCAATAAGGTCTGTATCCCATTGAGTGGGTTGAAGAGAAAAACAGGCAGCTCCACACTCACAGTTTCTGATCCCTCATCCACACAGGCATTATCTTAAGTGTGCTGTGAATTTTACATGGAGGGCGCAGGACAAGGTCCCTGGTGAAACTGAAAACTGGTCTCTGAGCCCTCCCTCTCTTCCACCTCTCATAAGGAAGTTATACTTCTGACCACTTCCTCTCCACATGGCTTCCCTAGCACCAGCCTCACCTGATCTCCCCCTCAGATCTCTGCCCCCCACCACCATTCCCTGGTTTCTCCTCCTTCCCCTGCTCTCTCATTGGACACTGTAGGCACTCAGGCCTCAGAGCTTCCTGTTCTCCCTGTCAGAGATCTCACTGACTCTCACTGCTCTAATGCTGGTCTCACAGGTCCTATTTCTCTTCTCTACCCATCACAAGCTTCCACTTGCCTATTGGGCATTTCACCTGGTAATCCACATGACCATAAATTCTGTTTCAAAAATGCATGTTCTTACTGTTTTCTTGTCCTATCATCCCACATTCTGTAATTCTGGATGTTTGTCAAATCTCTAATTCCCTATCTATCTCCTTTCTTTAAACCCACCTCCAATAGATGTTCCCCAAATTGATCTTCAGGTTCCACACAATCTCTATCAGAATCCCAGCTGACTTCCTTGTAGAAACAGAAAAGCTGCTAATAAAGTCAATATAGAAACTCATGAGTTCCAGCACAGCTAAAAGAATCTTGAGAAATAAAATAAGTTGTAAGACTCCCAATTTCCAATTTCAAAACTTATTTTACAAGCCATAGTCATCAAGACAGTGTGGTGCTCACATAAGAACAGACATATAGATCAATGAAATAGAACCAAGGCCCCCAAATAAATCCATACATCTATAGTGAATTTATTCTTGATGATGGCCTCAAGAACACTGAAAGGGGAAAGTATAGACTTTTCAACAAATGGCACTGAAACAACTGGTTGTCCACACAACAAACAATGAAGTAGGACCCCTACCTCAAACCATGTATGAAAGTTATATGGACAGCAGGCCTGGGCACCTGGAACAAAGTGCACCAAGTCTCAGATGATGGTCGTCTCCCCTGGAACTATGGCACCCTCCATCCCTCACCACTGCTAGCAAATTTAAAGAAACCACTACCTTCACCCATGATACTAAAACAAAAGCCACCCTATCCTACATTCATTACAAAAGAAGACCTGTTCACCTTCTCCTGGACTCAGCAAGTGCTGCTAGGACCCATAAGAAAGAAATGACTGTGCCTGAGACAGGAAGAGGGCTCACCCAGAAAGCATGTCATCATCCAGCTCCAAGAAGAAACTCCACCCCTGCTCCAAGGCAGGAGTCAGGTAAAGAAATACCTTAAAGGGCCATGCGTGCTGAGGAGGCTGCTAAAGTCTCAGCAGAGAAATGAAGTCTTGCTCTGAAAAAGGAAGGGGCAGGGGGGCAGAGTAAGAAGAATTATTCAGAGAAAACATAAGCAAAGGAAAATGGGAGAAATAATAAGTAACTGAAGACTTATAAAAGGAGACCTGAAGACACACCATAACCAAGGAAGGCAGAAGACAGAACAGTGCTTCAGGAGCCAGAGGGGCAGGCTCCAGCCTTGGTGAGTTCCAACAGTGTGAACAGGAAACAGGAACACTGCTCAGAAGGAAGCTGGAAGTCACAGAGAGGCGTGTGACTTTCCCAGCTAAACCTGCACAACAGACTGGAGAAAACAAGAAAACTAACGAATGAAAAGATCTACACTGATGCTGAAGGTGAAGTAAGGCTAAAGACAATGAACTTGAGGCCAGACAAATATCTGGAAGACATACAACCTGCAGGAAATATACATGGCAATGACCTGTCTTGGGAAATTGAGACTCACAGTGAAATTGCCAACAAAAATAAGCTTCCAAGCTGGCCTGTTCTAAAGGAGCTGTGCAGAAATGTCCAACCACATAGTGAAGTATTTGTAAACAGCCGGTGGGAAAACTGACAAGCAGAAGAGTGAAGGTGGTGCCTGATAACATGGCAAAGGGCCCAGGGCTTCAAGGACAGGGGAGCCCAGTTGCTGAAACCATGAACTTGGATAAAGCTAAAGAGAAAAGGCCCAGGAGGGGGTCTTTCAAACTCTGAATTAAAGACCCAGGGCATAGGAAAGAGATGGGGGCCAGTGAACTGAACCTGTGCAATTAAACTCAGGTATCCTAATGCCACAGGGTGACTCATGTCCCAACTAGCTTTTGAGGACAGAAGAAAAGCTTCATTCATCAACTTGTTAAGATTCTACCACAGATGGGAGCCGCCAGGGTCTAGGAAGCAACCTGAGCTGGATCGGGCCTCTTCTCAGCAAGTCATACCTTAACCCACTCTCATTCCCACAATGAAAACACACACTTTGAAAAGAACAGGGAAAATCCCAAGCAATTGTCTGGCCATTCTGCAGGACATCTTCTTTATGTCATTTTGCTCCTTCGACTCATATGCAATGTCATTTTGTTTCCCTTTAAAAATCCTCATGAAGTAGTCTCTTATTCTCATGTTTTTCCTACCCGTGGGAGGGTAGATAGGGTTACTCTATGCATGGACAGTAAGCAAACAAGTTTCTCAGTAATGGCCACGAAAGAAAGATTCCCCTTCCGGTACATATTTAAAGTGTTAAAATATACTTACAAAAATCTCAATTAAGAAACAAGCTCTCCCTGGCTCGGGTAAGGATTACATTTTTAACCAAAATTTGATATCTTCAGCATTAACATAACATGTAAAAGCAGCTTCTTTGGTCAGACCCTGAATGCGCAGAAAAACAAGCATGCATTAACAGACGGAAATTGCCTGAAATCAATCAAAAAATGGCTAAAAACACTCCCCGATATTTCCTCGTAAAGTAACCGACTAATATTAATGAGTCTTTGCTTTTGAACCACAGTGTGACACAGGATGGTCTTTCTTGGCCACCACATTCACCAGGACGGAGACCTGATTTCCTGGGCCAGTGCAAGTCAGCGGACAGAACGGTGGCCTTAGGTTAGAGATGCGCCTCATGTTTAACAAACTGCATTTTACATACTACTCCTTCATGCTGAAACTATCACCCTGACGAACAAGATTTTTCTATTTTTCTCCATAGATGTCACTTGTTGAGCATTTACAGCCTCATGCACTGTGTATTATGGGAAATAAACAGCAAACAAAATGTTTTCTTGTAATGATACTTGGAAGCATGCTTCACTGGTATCATAATGCCAGCACCAAAATTAACCAGTATCTGAACAAACGCATTTCACAAATGGAAACCAGTATAATTTTCCAATAAGCAACAGTACGAATTAACTTAATAACACTGAATTACACACTTTAAAATGGTTAAAACAGTAAACGCTTATCTATTATTTGGTTAATGTATGTACATTTCATCACGATATTGTTTTATCAGAGTCAGTTTTCACAAGCAATAGTGTGATCCCATT